GCTGGGGTAACAAGGCGGGGCGGGGGCAGTCACCCTCAGCGCCGCCCCGAGCACCCCCTGCTGCGCCCCTCTTCACCCTGCCTGCAGCCTTCTGGCGAGCCCCAGGCCTTGGGAATCACTGGGCGCTGGGGCACCTGCTCCCGCCAGTCGTTTAGGTTTTAAATGTTAATATCTTGGGGAAGGGTTTCTTTAGCAATAACGGTGCCTGGCTTAACCTGACAGGCTGCAGCAGAGCCACAAAGTAGGACTAAATGGCAAACTCTGCAGAGGGAGCTATGGGGGGCACCTGATGGTAGTTGTAAGGGGTGCAATGGGCTGGGGCCGTGCATGTGTCGTGCGCCCGCTGCCCGGGGCGCCAGTATTGCTGGAGCCAGCACTGGAAGGAGGGAGGGAGAGACCTGGGTTCTAGTTCTGCTCTGTGAGGGGAGCACAAGGACAGATACAACTGGTTTCCATGTAAGAACATCAGAAGGGCCAGTTTGGGTCAGATCAAAGTTCCCTCTAGCCCAGTATCTTGTCTTCCTAGAGTAGCAAATGCCAGCTGCTTCAGAGGGAATGAAGGCAACAGGCAATCGCTGAGTGATTCATCCCACCACCTATTCCCAGCTTCTGGTCAAACAGAGGTGAGGGATCTGCAGAAGATGGTGTTGGATCTTTGCCCATAGTGGCTAATAACTCTGTTATAGTCTTGGCCTTCACAACAGCCTCTGGCAGAGTGTTCCACCAGTTGACTGTACGTTGTGTGAAGAAACACTTCTTTGTTTTAAACCTTTTGCCTATTAATTTCATTTGGTGACCCCAAGTTCTTGTATTATGGAAAGGAGTAAATAACTTTTTCTTATTCACTTTTGCCACACCAGTCATGATTTTATAGACCTCTGTCACATCCTCCCTGTCATCTCTTTCCTGAAAAGGCCCAGTCTTTTTAATCTCTCCTCCCCCCTTCCATTTCCCTAATTATTTTTGTTGCCCCTTTCTAACTCTTTGCCAATGCCAAGATGAAACAGCCATATTTGCACTCACTATTCAAAATGTGGGCATACCATAGATTTATATAGAAGTGATAAGATATTCATTGTCTTCTTATCCAACCTTTTATAATGATTCCCACCTTTCTGTTTGCTTTTTGACTGTCGCTGCACATTAAGTGGATGTTTTCAGAGAACTATCCACAATGACTCTAAGATCTCTTTCTTGAGTGGTTATAGCTAAATTAGTCCCCATCATTTTGTATGTATAGTTGGGGTTATTTTTTTCCAATGTGCATGACTTTGCATTTATCAATATTAAAATTCATTTGCCATTTTGTTGCTCAATCACTTAGTTTTGTGAGATCCTTTTCAAGCTCTTCACAGTCTGTTTTGGTCTTAACTGTCTTTAGCAGTTTAGTATGATCTGCAAATTTTGCCACCTCAGTGTTTACCCCTTTCTCCAGATCATTTAGAAATATGTTGAATAGTATTGGTCCCACTATGGACCCTTGGGGGGAACACTAGTTTCCTCTTTCCAGTCTGAAAACTGACCATTTATTCCTACTCTTTGTTTCCTATCCTTTAATCAGTTATCAGTCCATGAGAGGGTCTTCCCTCTTATCCTATGGTAGCTTACTTTTCTTAAAAGCCTTTAGTGAGGGACCTTGACAAAGACTTTCTGAAAATGTAAGTACACAATATCCAGGGGCGGCCCATCCATATAGGTAAACTAGGCAGTCGCCTAGGGGGCCAAGTTAAATGGGGCACCAAATGGTGGCGCAATATCATTGAGGAGTTTGGAGGTGGGGGTGCCAATTGCATGGTTTGCCTAGGGCGCCAGTTGCTGGCAGCTATTCTAGGGCCGCCCCTGACAATGTCTACTGGATCTCCCTTGTCCACATGCTTGTTGACCCCCTCAAAGAATTCTAGTAGATGGGTAACGTGTGATTTCCATTTACCAAAGCCATATTGACTCTTCCCCAACAACTTATATTCATCTATGTGTCTGACAATTCTGTTCTTTACTAAATTGCAACCAGTTTGCCCAGTACTGAGGTTAGACTTATCGGCCTGTGATTGCCAGGTCCACCTTTCGAGACCATTTTAAAAATTTGCATCACATTACCAATCCTCCAATCATTTGGTACAGAAGCTGATTAAAAGGGCAGGTTACACAGTTAGTAGTTCTGTAATTTCACATTTGAGTTTCTGTGACACTTCAATCTGGGATAGTTCCTCAGATTTGTCACCTAGAAAGAATGGCTCAGGTTTGGAAACCTCTCTCTCATCCTTTGCTGTGCAGACAGATACAAAGAATTCATTTAGTTTCTCTGCAATTACTTTATATCTTTTGAGTCTCCTTTAGCATCTCAGTTGTCAAGTGGCTCCACTCATTGTTTAGCAGGCTTCCTGCTTCTGATGTACTTACAAAATTGCTATTACTTTTTGAATTTTTGGCTAGCAGTTCTTCAAATTATTTTTTGGCCTTCTTAATTATGTTTTTACACTTAATTTGCCAGAGGTGATATACTCCTTTCTATTTTCCTTACTAAGTTTTAACTTCCACTTTTTAAACTATGCCATTTTATCGCTCACTGCTTCTTTTACTTTGCTGTTAAGCCACAGCTGCAGTTTTTTGGTTCTCTATGTTTTTTATCTTGGGGTATACATTCGAGTTGAGCTTCTCCTATGGTGTCTTTGAAAAGTTTCCATGCAGCTTGCAGAGATTTCACTTTTGACACTGTACCTCTTAATTTCTGTTTAATTAACCTTATTTTTGTGTAGTTCACTTTTCTGAAATTAAATGCCACAGTGTTGGGCTGTTGGGATGTTAAATTTAATTATGGTCACCATTTCCAATTCATCTCTTGTACCAGATCCTGCATGCTAGGACTAAATCAAGAATTGCCTCTCTTCTTGTGGATATCAGAACCAGCTGCTTTACTGGCTTCTCCCCATAACTATACATAAAAGTCTATCAAGATGTCTTGTAAGATCCACAGCTTTATATCAGGCAGGCAAATCACCATGTGGTTCATCTGGTCATCACAAACCCAGCTGTCTATGTTTCTGATGATTGAATCCTCCATTAACACCTGTTTTTCCCTAATAACTGGAGTTCCCTCCCCTAGAGAGGTATCCTCAGTGCAAGAGGATAACTCCCACATCATTTGGAAGGAGGGTCCCAACTATGGGATAATTTCCCTTTGTGCGAGATTGATGTTCTCATTTAGAGTTGTTTCCACCATGTTCAGTAGCACAAAAGGCTGCCTGACTGGAGGTGGGACCATTCTGTTGTGTCCCAGAAATTCTCATCTATGTACCTATTTGCCTCTCTTAGTTCCTCCAGGTCAGCCTCCCTGGTCTCCAATGCTTGTGGTCTCTGAAGGCCAGGAGCTCCTTACACATATACCCTCTGCTCTGAGGGCATGAAATCATACATCCTATAGGGGGTGCAATAAACTGGATAGACCTCCTCATTCTGTTGGTGGGCTTCTGCCTGGATTCTCTTTTTACTCTGAGAGCTTATTCCTTTCTTTGTTTTTAAAAATCAGGTGGTTTTTTTGTTTAAAGACTAAGTGTACCTAGCCCCGCCCAAACTCTGTCTAAACTCCCTTGCAAAACTCTCCTATTAGCCAACTCTTTGTTTCCTCTCTTTTGACTGGAGTACCTGACAATGCTTTTAAGACCATCTAATGATCCTTATTTTGCTTTAATGACAAGCCTTTTGTTATCTTAATCACCCTGCCTCTGTTTATAAACGAACTCTCTTCTGCAAAGGCTGTGCTGCTCCCAGAGTCCGAAGTCACATTGCACACTCAGGCTGGGTTGCAGTTAAGGGCTCCATCTGGGGCTAAGGTGAGTAGACCCCGATTCAGGAGAGGGGACGACAGCTCCCCCAATACCTCTAA